TCTCCAGGTAGTGAACAGTTGAAACTTGAAAGAGTAGGATGTAGCCAGTTGGAAAGAGACCAGACCACCCATATATATAAATAGATAGATAGATAGACGGGTATCAGCGACGAGTTTCATTTCGTTTTCGTTTGGGTTGCCGTTGCCGATTCATAGAAATATTATTTGAATTTGAATATATATATATATCGGAAACAAATAAGGCGTGTCGGTGCCGACTGCCGACACATGCATAGTAGAACCGACAAAGTTACCGTGGACGTGGAGGGGGTCCTTCCCGTGACAAAATCTGACAATACAGCTTCTCTCAATTCCTTTTCACTCTCTTTAAGTCTAAACGCATGGACAAAGGGCACATGCCTTCCTCACTCACTGTAAAAGACGTCGGTGCGTTGTTTTATTAAAGAAAACGGTGTCTCTCGCCTAAAAAAAATTAAAAGAAAGCCGGAGTCTGTGTAGTGTAGTGTGTCAGTGTATGCTACTGGCACAATATAACCATTAACTAAGACTGTGTTAACGCCGTCACTCATCCACAATTCGACGGTTGACATCATTTATTAATCATGCAGCCATGTGAGCATGTGAGGTGGAGCTCCAGCCTGGAAGTGAACAACCAAATGATGTGATATGGCGTCCACGTACGTTTACAGGTCATGGCTTGGCTATTGATTAGTGAAGTCTGAAGACAATATTTGAAATATAAATAATTAATTAGACTCGTGACAATCGCTTGCTTTGCGCAAGTTTGAAAAGCCAAAGCCCAGGTTGCATCTTGCTTGCATGTGAAATTTTTATTTTATTTTTTTATACATAGAAAGAGAGAGATATAGTGTGGGTTGTGGCCTTGCGGGTGCATGAACAAGGCAGCAACCTGAGGATTACGACGCTCCAGATTAATTTTATTTGGTGGGGTACCTTTTTTTTTTTGTAAAAATAATTCAGATTAGCTGACACAAGTGATAAAATAGATAAGACCCATACTGATGGATTAAGGATCCGTTTGGTTTATCATCAGAGTTGGAATGGAATTTCATTCCAAAGGAAGGGGGAGGGAATGGCCATTCCCTTAAATGGGAAAATGCCATTCCACCAGGAATGGGAATGAAATTCAAATTCCTTGCAATCAAACAATTAGAATCGGAATGACTCATTCCAATTCTGATTCCAAACTCCTATTCTCACAAATCAAACAGGCACTAAATGATTCTCACAAATCAAACAGGCACTAAATGGTTATGGACCCATGCATTTTAGGACTGATGTCGAGTGCTATAATTGGTTCCACAGCCTTCTGTACAGCTATTGTGTTTATTTAATCTTATCTCTTTTTTTTAATGATGTAAGTGTAATAAAAGTATTAATATGCTGTACGGTCCAAAGATATCATCAAATAGATACACCTCACAAATATACAATTTATATGACAATTATTTAGTTAATTATAATTTTATTGGGTTAATTTATTTAAACCTCCCCGTTAACTATTTGGTAAATTCTAAAACTTCCCTTATTCTTTGCGTATTTACTTAAATATCCCCTATTACACAAACTTTGTTAGGTTGTTATTATATTAATTAAAAGTAAATATGGTTCATGCAATTGCACCTGGAGTTGAGTCAAGGAGAAAGGAGAAGAGAGACAGAGCTGTCATTTGTCATAGAAGAGGACGTTGCATCTGCCTGCTGCATCCATTATGTAGAGTAGAGAGCTGACAAGCAACCCCAAATCCTAATTAAAACCCTAATATCTTGTAGTAGAATTAAAAGCTTGATTCACTCACTAAACCTACAATTGCTCCTTTTAAACTACGATCAAGAAAATAAACAAGTTTTATTGTGAAAGAAAGGTATTTATAAGGGATTATAGCTAATAAAGGTAATTTTGGGTCCTAATATCAATAAAAATAATCATTTTAATATAATTTTTAAAATAAGTTAACTTTTTTTTAAAAATACATCAAATAAGGGCAAAAACATTATTCATATTCTTCTTCTGGCTCTTTCCCATCTTGCTTTCACCCCAGCCTCGCGAACTTCAATGACCACTATCCACCAGTACCGCCACCGCTGCTCCGCCCACCTCAGGCAATGCCAATCTAACGACATGCCTCTACTACACCAACCTTGGGGTCTTCACCCTCACCTGGTGTTACAACGTCATCGGTCAAGATCTCAAGATTGACCTCCACTTCAATGACCAAGAAGATGAAGATCTCTTCCCCTCCTCCTATTGCCTCTACATAAACCTATTTTTCTTCTGGAGGAAATATGATTCAAAGAGACTCCACGACAACGGTCCGACAAAGAAGGTTGAAATCTATTGGGATCTCACCATAGCCAAGTTCGTCGCGTCAAGCCTCGAACCCCAATTTGGGTTCTACACCGCCGTCGTCGTTGACGATGTGATGACCTTTCTTGTCGGCAATTCTTAGAGGGAAGCATACAATGCAACCAAAATAGGGAAGCCCAAGAGAAGAAACCATGTGTTGATTTCGAGAAGAGAACATGTTTTTTGGCAACAAGGTTTATACAACAAAGATAGATTTGGAGGCAAGACCAGAGACATCTCGATTGATTGCAGCATGAATGGCGATGAACCCAAGCTTTGATTCAATGTCAATCGAAAAAGGGTATTGCAGATTAAGCGATTGAAGTGGAAGTTCAGGGGAAACAAGAGGATTGAAGTAGACGGGATCTTGATTCAGGTGTCCTGAAACATGTATACTGGTTGAGAGAAATTTATTCGATGGTTTGGAGAAGGAAGAAGATGAGCAATGTTTTTGCCTTTATTTGATATATTTTAAAAAAATTTAACCTATTTTAAAATTATATTAAAATGATTATTTTTATTGATATTAGGGCCCAAAAGTTGCCCTTATCAGCTATAATCCCTATTTATAATCCTACCATTTAAACAATTGTGGTTGTAGATTACTCCAACAGCACAAGTATTTACAAGTAGTGGTTATTTGGCCAGTTAGCCCGGTTAGCCCATCATCTAGTGTCGTTTTTAGCCATTTCCATCATTTTTAATAATTAATAGGACTCATTTATCACAAATATTTTTTTAATAACTTTGATGAAGTTATAATATCATATATATGTCCAATTTTTTCTACATTTTGACAATTTTTATATTTTATTATTTGATTTATGATCATGAGTGAACCTATTTGACTTGGATAGGTGAACTTCTAACCCATCACAACATTTTTGGTAGTTTCTAAATATTAAAAATAAGGAGAGAAAATTAAAGAAATAGCATTCCTTTACAACCCTTAAATTAAGGTGGTATTCGGTTCTGTGGTCATCTCGTGGATGGCCCATTTCGGTCCATGCCCATTTCAACTGTGTAGGTCATTCATTTATGATTGACTGTGTAGATCATATAAAATGCAATAATTAGACATTTATGATTGACTGCATAGATCATTCATAAAATGTATATGAAATACATGAAATCAAAAAGTATGATGTAGACCACACCTACAGAACACTATTATGGATGTGAAATGGTCACATTTACACAATATATCCACAATTTAGAATAATTGTGGACTGTAATATGGTGTGGATTGATCCCTGCCACAGGGTGTAGTGTGGATCGTTTCACACTCACTAATTTCTCATCCACACTCTAGAAGAGTCCCTAAAAACTCTCATCTTGATCAAATGATGTTATTAGTGCATTATTTGTTTATTTTTCCTTTTCTTGTTCATATATTTTTTTTTACAGGTGTAACAACTTTGAACATAATGAAAAGCAAGAGGAGTAATTAATCCTCGGCATCAGGCAAACGAACACTGAACCTAATTCTAAAAATTGTATGACTATCCAATGTSTTAAGGGGAAAAGCAAGAGGAGTAATTAATGTCAACCTCGAAAAGCTGCTCTGCCACAGACCTTTAAGAGAATTTCTTACATTTGCCACATAGTGAATGGGCAGGACTAAATGAAAAGCTGATCTGCCACAGAACTAGGAACCAATTCGGCTAGCGAAATCCAAGTTGGACGCACGAATTGGAGATGGACCTGATCATGGAACCCAAATTAGGTAGGAATTGAAAGAGGATACCAAGACATACAGTGGATTTGACCTTGTAATTTTCTAAAATTCAAACTAGAAGTCTACAAGGTATCAAGGTGGGGTGTGTGTGTGTCTAGACTCTAGAGACACTTCTCTAGAGTGTAGACCCACCATTCATCCATTACATTAGGGTTGGCACGCACAAAAGTTTCAGTTAAAAACCAGCTATTAGGAGATTCTTTTGGTAGGCGCTGAAGATTAAACTAAAACATGTATCAACCACCCACCATCACTGCCTTGGAATTGGAATATTTCATGGTTAAACTTGTACTAAGTCAACATTRTCAAAAGGCCGAATAAATGTGGTGTAGAATTGCAGATACTTTGAATCCAGTCACTTGCAACAAAAGACTTTCTGGATGCAAACTCACGCACACATGCACACACCGCGTTATCGCATTGATTAGATCTGGAAATTGCGTAAAGTAGGAACTTCTCTTTTGTCACTTCTCGGATGCATCCATCAAGTTTCATACACTTTGGGTTGACATGCTCAAATCTCTCTCTCTCTCAGATGATGAACTAACATTTTCTTAGTCCAATAAGAGAGAGAGAGAGCAAGGTTTAATTGAACGCTTTGGCTGTTTAGCAGGCTGTGAAACCTTACCAGTAATAAAATACATAGGGCTCACACATTTCAACAGTGGGGCCATAAATTTATTACTAGCATAGAACCTCATCATTATTCATTAGTTTCACAGCCCGCTGAATAGCAAAAGCATTCCGAATTCGAAAATTAGATAAGGTTTGATAAAAGATACGGCGAAAACTAGGTGTCAATCAAAGGTGACAAATTATACGCAGAACAAGTTCAATCAAGAAGTATAGGAACATTAAGGGTGTGTTTGGTTTGAAAGAAAAAGGAAGAGAAACCAAAGGATCCCAATAAAGCTGAGATATGGAAGAGACTACATTCATTCTTTCACCGTTAGGTGGTTCAGATCCATTACCCCATCCAACGGGTGGCGTACCATGTAAACAATTGTAGCAGCAGATTATGTCAATAATACAAGTAATTATAAGCATCTAGCATGAGTGGAACCTACAGGAGATAGCATATTCCCCTAGAGCCCATGCCAATCTTCAAAACCATAGATTTATCTCATAATTCCAATCAAGGAAAAGTAGAACGTAAAAGTGTAAAACAAACAAAAAAGTAATGAAAAATGGTGGAATTTGGTGAAGACACCTGGAAAGAACAATGCTTCTTGTTCCATGTAATCAAACAGTCATATAACGTCAAAGCTACTCTTGGCTGTCTAAGCTACATTGAGGGATTGCATTGCCCATGGTAGCAGATCCGGGACAGGGTCTCAAGCTGGTCCCTTCCATGTATTCGCGGCAAAATTGTGTTGTGTATCCCTACATTTTCTCATTAGATTACATTCATATTTTGAGTTTTGAAGTTCTTCTTCTTGCACTTACAAGCAGAAAGATGATAACAAGGAACAGTAATACTGTTACAACTAATAACGAAATCTTCCATTGGGCTGCATGTGAACTGCTAAGCGCACTCTTCTGCCTCTCCTGAAATATTATACATAATCATGCAAATCAAGTCACAAAATAGATTCAATAGTAGGCTAGTAAATTTTGAAATGATTGTCCTCAGAAGTTCAAACTATTGAAGGCTATCATAGAATAACCTCCTGATAGTTCATGTTTTATGGGAGGTAACATGCTTTCTGATCCATCTCATCATCTGAATGGTATGGATTGAAAATCATGTATAATTTCTGCAGAAAGGATCTCAAATAAGGTAATTGTTCCATATGACACATGCATCTATACATACCGGTGTAGATATACATTCAAGAGCATGAATAGAACTGAATTAGATTATCCCAAGAAATACTTGACAAAAAATACTTTCTAATTAAGCACTCAGCAAAGGGCCAGAATAACTGAATATTTAAGGAAGGTGACCTACAGACTAATCCATTAAGCAGAAGGTATGGGGTTTCTAATGGGAGAGGTAGTACATTCACAAGATACAATAATCCAGGTCCAAGCACGATTCCTGCCTTTATCCTTTGATGGAATAACCTAATCATTATCATACCTCTAATCCATATTTTGTAAGCCACTAAATTCTTATCAGAATTATGAGTTGCTATTTCTAATTGTGAATCACCCTTTCAATTCAAAGGCCTAGATGCCCTAAAATTCTTTAATATATTTAACTGTTATCTTGTGCATCTTTCATGTGCAGTAATAGAAAAAAAAAATCATCATGGCAAGTTTGGCAGCTAAATATTTCAACCAACCTTCTCCATGAGATCTTTCTGTTGCTGAAAAAAGATGCCTTGGGCATACTTGTAGAGCTCCACATCAAGACTGTTAAGTGACATTATTTGCTTGAGAACTGCTTCAGGAACCTGACGACGTGCCTGTCAAGAGACCAGATGTGAGCCAGAGGTGTATTTCTAATTAAAAAGGATATTCAAGTTCTTCAAATATTTGCCATGAATACTTGTCAAGTTCTTCAAATATTCTGTTAAACAGGTGTTTTTTATAATATAAGTTAGAACATTCTCATATTTCATTACTTTAATTGCCAGTGTTGCATGGACATGGACATGGGAGTCACAATCCAACATGTGTTCAAAAGTCTGACTCGACAAGATGAGAGAACATGGACTTGGAGACATGTTATGGAAAAGTATATACTATTAATATAGTTACATATTTTTTGAATTCTAACATCATTAACCTGCAAATAGGGATCTAAAATGTTGCTTTTGTTATTTTGAAGAAAAAAATGGCATTGATCTTGTACATTAGCCATTCTTTTATGTCAAATAAACTAAGAGATAGAAAGGAAATGCTACATAGAAGTATCATCCAGAATCCAAGGGGTGGACTCCAATGCATGTCCAACACAAACATGTTGTCCATTTAGGAGAGTCCATGCAACACTGTTAATTGCATTATTTAACATTATATACATTCATCTTGTACATTACCTGTTCATTTATGTCAAATAAGCTAAGACATGGAAAGGAAATGCTACATAGAAATGTCCTCGAGAATCTGTGGTGTGTCGGATTCTGATGTGTCTCCAATATGGTGATGTCATCCATTTAGTAGAATCCACGCAACACTGTTAATTGCATTATCTATCCAATTAAGCCTCCTAGCCTTGCGAGATAATTTTATGGATTTTCCAAGCATGGTTACATTCCTTGTATAAAACCACCTACCAATATGATTTCAGAGGGATATGATCCACCACAAATGTGTTCCAGCTCAGAATTCAACTCCCTGTTTAATAGAAGTCTCCTGGTCACCTTATTATCAGAATATTCAGAACCACTTCCCATATTCATTTAGACCATACAAAACCAATGTGAATCAAGTGGCTAGGTTTGTTCTTTGTTGCTTCATGTTGATTTTAGCTATGGCTATCTTCAAATCGATGTTACATTTTGGGGAGTGAAGTGTACGTTTGCCATGGTGCACCGTGCACTATTAGAAAAATATCCTTAATATCCATGTGGCACTCATCTTTATTTCTTAGTACTACAGTTATTTCTTATGGTTGGCCACTGTGAATTGCCACATGGTAATAAAGATTTGCAAATGAAAGACGTAGAGAGACATTCCAAAAGAATGATAGACAGACCAAATTTCCCATGATAGGGAAGATATCCCAATAATCAGAAAAATTCTGGCAATTAAAGACTAAGCATGATTCAAGATTTATAGAGGAATGTGGGCATAGCCTTCTTCCCTAAACCATTAGGTTTTTTGGAAATTAAGATACTTGACTTCATTGATCCAAGGTTCTAAATATCGATACGGACTGATGCACTGGATGGGACGTATCAGACTTTTTAAGAGAGCACTTTAGATTTTTCAGTATTTTTTAAAACCTGTTCAGGGGAGTCCGTATAAGGCCTGTCTACCCCTTGAAATAGGTCAAAACCTCAAAGGCTAAATCAATATGATACATATCAGCCGATACGGATCAATATGTTGCAAAATTTTGATCCTTGCGTTGCTCAATTCTGATAAAAGGGGACAAACCGCACCTTTCCAAGAAAGGTAAATGTAGGGGCCACACTATTCAGTTCCTTTGAAAGGTCACAAATTAACATCAATCTTGATCTTGGAATACTCCCCTGTAGAGATCACCCCTAGTCTATCTTGACAATCAGCCAAATCATTTGCCAATCTTAAAATCCACTTGAATGAGCATCTCAGTTAAGATAACTTTTACTTATCAGATATCTAAGTGTCCAGGGACCTTTAACATTTGCTAGCTGACTGCCACTTAACAATCACCATCCATTACTATCCCACTCTAGCCTGCATCAGCCACTAAGCCATTAGGTTCACTAACAATCCTCTTAATACTAAACTAAAAGGTTCAAATTATCAATACACCTGATATGCACATTCACTCCCCTTTTCTAGTCTTTTTTTTTCCCAAAATTTTACAGGGTATAGGCTGGGCTACCCCCTGAAACTGGTCAAAGCCCAAAACCCCTTGATTTGAGTGTATCAATATATGATATGCCCAACACAGGGTCATAAGAGGGCTGGACTGGATACCGATGGAATGTCTGGCATTTTTTACATGAAATGACTGCTCCTAGACTCTCATTTGTCAGTCCAAGATTCTACCATTGCACCAAGTAATGGCCCCTTGAGGTAATATTAAACTACCCAAAAAAATAAATCCAGCAATGCTAAAAGGGCCTAGAAACCAAGAACAGATAGAGTTAATTTAATCCACATTTTTTTAGAAAAGAGAAAGAATTAATATGCATGTAAAAGAATTATATAAGAACAGATTAAAAAGAAAAAACAAAAAAGAAAGACAATCAAGTATGTAGTCGAAAACTTTGAAAAGGCTTTTGTTTCATGGAAACTTTACCTCCTTTGAAAAATTTGCTGGGGATATTCTCTTCAATGAAGAGAACCTTCGGCGTGATTGGGCCTTTCGCAAACTAGAAATGCAAACCTCATAAGCTTCCATCAGTTTGGCAACTGTCATCTAACAAAATCAAGGAGCCCACACATCACCAAAAAAGAGAATTTGCTTCAATAAGTGAAAACAGACTGGAACTTGAAAAGCTTAAATTTCATGATTTGAGGGGGTCTTACATTTTCTTTTGCTACTTCAACATTTTCAGCTGAAACTTCACTTTCCTCTAGTTTGTTGGTGGTATTCTGTCATTCAAAAAATTGTAGTGGTAAAATGACACCTAAATTAGTTTCATATACCTTTGAACTAGCCCAAGGTCTATTTGTCAAAAAGTTAGCCCAAGGTCTAATATGCTTGCCTGAATACGGCCCCCATCACCTTCAGGATCTAGAAATAAAGGGCTCAGTTCTGTAACACAAGTAGTGGAGTATAAGAAATTTTATGGTCAGACTGGTAAGAAATACAATCTTTATTTTGTATTATCTTTAGCATAAAGTAATATAAACAAAATAACAAAAAGCCCAGGGGTTACAACTGCTATCATGCTTAGTATTGTGGCTTTATACATACACCCAATGACACATCCCTTAAGGAGTAATATGTACTGAGGCACTTGTTTGGTGTTGTGGCTCCCAATATTAACTATATGAGATATGGAAGAACAAAAAAAATGCACTTATCTTTTATTTTTTTCTTAACTAAACAAGGAAGAAGATCTGATCAACTGCACCAGTAAGCAATGATCATCACTAGAATTCTCTCAAAGATCATCCTATTTATAAGGATTACAAGATCATCTACTACTATTTTCATTGCATGTGCTGATGATATAGTAGTTACAAGTAACAATATGAAGGAGACAAAAGTGCTTAAGCAGTTTTTAGCAAAGGACTTTGAAATTAATGAGGATTTGTTCATATTATTCATATCTCAATGCAAGCATCTGTAGGATTTACTCAAGGAAACAAGAAAGCTTGGATCTTAGCCTGTTGTTAGCACAAATGGAGGATAATCTGAACTCTGAAGTTATGTTTAGAGCGGTAGACCAATTTCAAATGTGGGAAGGTTCTAGAGAGTAGAGATTGGTTGGTTAAACTAATGTATCTTCACCTAATCAGAACTGATACTGCACATGTTGTTGGTCTTGTAAGCTAGTTCATGCATTCTCTATGAACAGTTCATGTGGCATCACAGTTCATTTGGCAGCTATTAATACAATCTTTAATTATCTTAAAGGTTCTCCTGAGAAGGAGCTTTGTTTAGGAAGAGTGATCATTCTCTGATGCATGTCTGACGTGGACATGTTCATTTAGGATAGTCCGTGCAACACTGTCCTGGAAAAAGGTTGGGTTCTGATTCTTGTGTCCACATCCATGCAACACTGCTTTTATATTAGACAAAAAAAGAAAGAAAAACGTGAGCAGGAAATAACTTCCAGGATTGTTGAACTCTATGAACCAATAGTTTTCTTCTCTGATTTTTATTTTTAGCATTTTTTAGGTGTGGGGTTTGATTTCTGTCACATAAAACAGTTTACATATTTCAATTACAAGACTAAAAGACAAATGAATAAGATAGAAAATTTGTAATCCATACCAGACTTGTTGTTTGATTGCTCCATGCTGGAACTTAATGTATGGAACTGGGAAAGCACCTGTTCACCAACCACATTTGCAAACATTGTTGCAGATTCTCTGTGGTCTTCAGTGAGCCCAATATATAACATGTCATCTAACCTCTTCTGCAAGATGTACAATCTTATGAGCAACATGAGATCAAATAGCTCATGACAAAATATTGTGCTATTCTGAATCCCAATTTCATTACCTTTGCAACTTCAAGCACATATTCACCAAGACTCCTGTACTTACTTATACAATGACGCACTTCATGTGATTCCGCAAAATAAGAGTTATTTGTCAATCCTGCAACCTGTTAATAAGATCAAATTTCCAGCATTATAACAATTTAATCCACTTTTGCCATGTCCATACTGAAACATATTCTCCACAATTGCCCACACTCACACATCAAAAAAGACGCAACAAAATAGGAACTGGGAATAGCACCACCCTCCTGGACAACACAAATGGGAAAAGGAAAGAAGGGACAAAAGTAATATAAAGAAACAAAGCCAAATAAACTCTCAGGACCTGAATTCCCATTACCACTTCTCCAATAACAACCAAAAAATTAAAAAAAAAAGTTCCTAGCATCTGGCAGATGGTATAACCTCCAAGATCTATCTCCTTTCCCTTCCAATGACAACTCATTCCTCTTCCTCTGCTAGAATAGCTCCCATAGAGAATGCCCACTCTTTCTGAAAACATGCAATCTCCTTATATCAGCAGGACAAGCCTATCTGTTGTTGGAGGCAAATAATTCCAAATCCTAGCACAAAAAAAAAGGACTTCCCCTAGGTGCTAATCCAAAGGAAAGTAGGTTTTGGAACCCTGTGGTGGAAAAGTTTGAAAAAATATTGACAGCCTAGAAAACTATATTTCCTTGGGAGTAGAGTAACTTTGATTAAGGCAACTCTAGCCAACTTGCCAATATATTTCCTGTCAGTCTTTAGAATTCCTAAAAGGGAGGCAAAGAGGTTGGAAAATTTGATGAGGGACTTCTTATGGGAACCTGAGGAAGAGAAAAAATATCACTTGATTAGGCACCCTTTGAGGCTCGCCTTGCGTAATCGCCAAGCAGTTTTTTACTTCCTACTATAAAATACTTTTTTGTTCATTCTTTTTTGAGATTATAATTATAAAATAGACATTATTAAACTAAAATAATCATTTTGTGTGTTTATATACTAATTTCTTTTTATTGTTTTCTTATTTATTAGGGTTTAATCAACACAAACATTGCTAAATGCTGTATTGAACCCTCAAAGACTTCAAAACCTGAACCAATAAGTAAGGAAGAACTTAAAATTTTATCTAGTCAGCACATTTTATTCTTCCATATATTCTTCTACTTCTTCTTCTACTACTACTACTACTACTACTACCATTACTTTTTCTTTTCTTCTTTTCCTATAACAAAAATAAGGGTTCATCCCCTATATTTTTTGAATTTTATATTCCTTCTTCTTTTTCTTCTCATGAATATGTTGATTTTTTTTATAGATCTGATGAATATGTTGATTTTCTATACTTTAACATGAACTTTATACTTTTCTTATGAATAATTATTAAGGAAATATGGTTATGGTGCCTAGAGAACTACCCTAGGATCTATGTTTTCAACATAAAAAAAATCCATCGCCTAGGCGACAAGGCACCCCCTGTTGCCTAGCCTCGCCTTGGCGCCTTGAAAACTATGGTGAAGAGTATCCATGGCTGTTTTGAATCAGGTTGGGATGTGGGGGTATCCCGAAGGGCTTTGCTCACAACAACCTAGAATGGAAACTCCGTTCTTTTTTGGGAAGATATTTGGGTAGGCACTCAACCCCTAAAAGACCGTTTCCCTTCTCTCTACTCCATCTCCCTCTTTAAAACGATAACTATTTCAAGGTTCCTCCCCCCCCCCTTGGGTTCTCCCTTTGGCTTTAAACTAGGATTTTGGGTTCTAAAGAGGGTTAAGGGATGATGAATCTACTTGTATTTCAGAGTTCTTGTTGCTTGTAGACTCTGTGTGTTTGGACCCCCCTAACCCGGATAAAAGGGTTTGCTCTCTAACCCCGGTTGGCTCTTTCACTTGTGCATCCTTCTTTAAATTCCTTTGCTCCACCCCCTCCCAGTTGGCTCTTTCACTTGCTCTCTAACCCCGGTCAAGGCCAATACCTCCTAAAATAGTTGTGTTCTGTTGGGAAGCCTATTATGGTAAGATCAATAATGTGGAAAACTTGCAAAAGAAGAAACCTTATATGTGCTTGTCCCCAAATTGGTGCTTTATGTGTAAAGTGAACGGTGAGGATTGTAACCATTTGCTAATATATTGCTCTTTTGCTGCCAATATTTGGAATTGGGTTGTATCATTATTTTGGTGCAGGTGGAACTTGCCCTCCGAAGTAAAGCTGTTGTTTACTCTGTATGCCTTTGGGAGATTGACGAAAAGAGGGAAGCTAATGTGGAAATGTATCAGAGTCGCTACCTTGTGGATGTTATGGGAGGAGAGAAATGCTAGAATTTTTCAAGAAAAGGAAAGAAGCCTTGCTGAAGTCAAGGAGTGCACAATGACAATGACAACCTCTTGGTTGAAATCTTCATACTTGTTAGCGGATTACTCCTTTGATGATTTAGGGAGAAATTGGGCAGTAGTGGATTCTACAGTCTCCACAAAGAACAAACCACAAGTAGACTGGAAACCCCCACTGAAAGGAATGGTAAAATTGAATTTTGATGGTAGCTGTCAAGGCAACCCAGGGCCATCGGTAATAGGAGGGTTTCTGAGAAATAAAGACAGCAACATGATGTCTTTATTTTCAGGACCAGCGGGTGTTGGTGATTCTGTAAGGGCCGAGATACTAGCAGCGGTATAAGGCATACACCTGGCCAATCAACTTGGAGTGGAAATTTTGATTGAGGGGGATTCCAAGGTAGTAGTGGCTGGCTGACAAATCCAGAAACAACTTGTTAGGGTTACAGGGATCTGTTAAAGAAAGTTAACTGGCTGACAAGAAATATGACAGTCAAGGTTTAGTGGGTTAGCAGATCAGCAAATGCAATGGCTGATTCTCTGGCCAAACAAAGGGTATCAAGGGGAGATCTGTTTCGGGCTATCTTGTAATTGTGTTTCAAGGTTGTGTGTATTTATTGCTTATGGTTCAGTCCTTGGGGGAGGTAACACCTCGTGCCTCCTCCTAGGCTAACTGTACTCTCTTTATTTGAATTAATAAAATTGCTCTCATTTACCAAAAAAAAAAAGGTGATTGAGTCACTGTTCAAGTTGGTGTGGAAAGTCATGTGCATATGGGGATTATTCTATCTTATATGATTCCCATTGATCATCTCTACACACACAACCTTCCTCCTAACACATCATCGCAGCTCCCAAATTGTAAATCACAAACAAAGCAAGATTGAGGCACCATCAGTTATAATTGCAAAATCAAAATAAAAGCTTAGGATCATGAAATATGGAATCACAGTTATATGCTGAAGTACCTGTAATGTAGCTCCATTGTGGACAATATCATGTGCTATTGGATCATTGATAAATTGATGTAATGGCATAACAATCTTTTCCATATTATATGAATCATTATTATCATCAATGCTGCTAAAACCACCTTGGCTTCTGATCTCTCTCTGTACGTCAAATAAAACGGGAAATGCAATTACCAAGCAAGATCTTTTAAAGGAGTTCCATACTAGTAAAACAGAAAAGAGAAAATAGGAAAAGAGCATTCTACTCCATACACAAAATAGCATGATCAGACTCAACTGTTGCAGTTACATAGGAAAGAAAATATCCAAACAGCAGATTCCCCACAGAAAAATTGGTAAAGGCCAAATCATTAACCCACATGTGTCCCTCTAATTCAACTTGAAAATAGTCCGTATCTATCTTCGTCTATGATACACAAATACCCATACAAGGGTGGGTGTCATATACCAAAAGTAGAAATAGTACAGTACAACAGTCCCCTTGGGTAGGTATATGTGTTCATCTAGGCAACTAACCAACTTCCCAAGAGGAACAAGCTAGAAATTTCAAAGATCCCACAGATTCTTTGAATTAGTTAGTAACTGAACAATGGACTGATGATGATTACACTCATTGGAGATTGAAATCCAAAATTGTTCCTATGATTGCTGCTGGTTCCAACTCCCAAATGAACTTACTTCTTCTGCTCAACCCCGTCAAAGGCCAGGCTAACAGTAGCTTCATAACAGACCTGAGCATAACCCACCTTATGCTTGTTGCTTTGATGAAGTGCAAAGAGATCTTATAGACCACTGGGTAACGAGTACATAGGTCGTCTATAGTCTCCATTTCCTGCCTGTGCATGTTTGAGGTTAGATCCCGAATTTGCATATCTCTTCTTAGCAGTGTCCTTAGTAAGACACTTTCCAAGGGCTGCAGACTACACCAGTAATCCAATCTTTGAGGCGACATTGGTTTTCCACACAGTTCTCAAGGAAATGTAACAAGTCTGGGGGCTCTCAGATTCTCTGCAAAGGATCTAATTGACAACTCTCCTTTTTTGTCCCACCTCCAGCTCCAAGAGTCTGCTTGGTCACTTTAATGTTATCACTTCTTAGCTGCTGGAGCAAGTTTATCACATCGTCCATCTTCCAGTCATGAAAATTTCTTTGAAATCTGGAGGACCAGACCAAACTTGCTCCCCTAATTTGAACAGTCACTCAGCCATTGTAGCTTATTTGTTCTCTGCTAACAAGAACGATTGTGGGAAAACTTCCTCCAGAGGTCTACCAGCATGCCACAGGTCTTTCCAAATCTATGTTTTTTTAACTTCTGAAACGTCTTACTGCATTAGGAATCTTCTTGTGCTCCATAAAATCCCTATAGCTAGCATTAATCCTCTCTGACTCCAAAACCACATTCTTCTTGAATATATTATTCATTTCTATTTACTAGATTACTTCTCATTTTTAAGTTTATTCTTTCTTTTTTAGAACATCAATCAATGTCTGAAAGATCCTAAATTGTTTGTTTAACAAAATAACAAATAGTAAACATGATTTAAGGAACAGACCCAGACCAATTTGTTAGATTTTGATTTGTAGGGAACTTTGCACCTTTAAAATCAGATGAAATTATTTCTTTACTCATCTCATATTCCTTTTTCTTGGTCATGATTTCTCAGACGACAATCTGCTAGGAATTTCAAGGAACTAATCTGAATGAACTTAAATGAAACCTTACTGTCATAATCCACATATTTTCGTGGCAGGCTCAAGTGAGAAGGAACATTGATGATCTTCAGTTTTCCAAGGATATTAAATTGAATTTTGATGGCAGCAAACTGGTAAAACTGATCTGGCTGGGATAGGAGGTGATTTATCCAACTAGACTTTTCTTTTATTTTACTTTATTATTATTATTATTTTTTTTTTTTTGGGAGGGGGGGAGTATTTGAAAGATTGATCCAATGAAGCTGAAGTAATTTGTCTTTCCTACCTTAGGATCTTGTTTTGACTTTATTTCAAAATTAATTAGTAACACCATCAGATGAGCCAGAGGATAAGTAATTGGTGCATAAAAAATGACTTTTCTTTTTTGAAAAGTAAGGTAAGTATTATATTAATGATTAAAAGGTATACGGAAAATCCTTTGTACAATGAGACTGTACAAGAAACAACTGGTCAGAAAACTGAAAGTTCAAAAAGTAATCAAAAGTCAGCAAATCATTCTTATGAACATCCCTGAATAAACTGTGATTTGTTAGACATGATTGTGTAATCTCAACACTGAGATTGATAATAGCTTCTACAGGGTTCTTTTTCTGCTCAAATATACAAGTATTCCTCTGTAGCCATACTGAATACAGTTCCAAAGAACATTCCCTTTCTTATTCAATCCATTCAGATTCTAGCAACCCAATGACTCCACTGAATCTGGAACAAACTATTGGACCTTAAAAGCCTTAAAATAGTGATGCCAAGCTCTGCTCGTAAAGCTACAGTAGTACAGTGAATGAAAATATTGTAGATTCCAAGGGAACTTAATGTTTGCTGATTATTTTGCTAGAAATGGGGCAGGATGCAGGATGGAAGGGTAGCAGCTTTCATGCCATCACAGAACCCTACCAGGGGCCTTCTCTTTCCCCCCCTTCATATGTTATCAAGGCCTTTTTTGTTTCTTAATGAAATTATATCAGTGCCTGTTAAAAAATCAGAAATTTGTATGCAACACATAATTATAATCCATAGCTAGGCAAGAAAATTTGATAAACACATTTATGGTGTTTGGTGTGTGTTGTTTACTGATGGCACAGTATTATTATTTTTTAATTAATTTATTTATTTTTGTTTGGGTAGAAGATGGCATAGTATTGATTGACAAAACTAGAGGGGATTAAATGCAAAATTGGATTTATGGATAACCCTAGAAACAATAGGTTTTAAAACTGCACAGGAGGCAGGATTTCATTGTAAAGTTCAACCCCCCCCCCCCAATGAAAGAGGAAAAAAAAGACTTTAACAACTAAGATACCTGACACCTTTAAATAAATGGCATTAAATTATTTCACCAAAATAATTAAACATTCTTTTTTGACTGGTAAGTACTAAGTTGAAACTTTACTAAACTGTGCTAAACAATAGGGATATAAAGTAAAAGTTCCAAGCACCCCTCCTCAAGACTTCAAAATAATCAAACATTTCATATCTACTAGATATAACTTCAGTGAAAATTATTATCATCTCCTTAAAAACACTAATTCAGCTATAAAAAAAATTGATTTCTCCCAATAAATTAAGAATCCTGATAATTCCGATACTTGGGGGCCATTTGATAACAGCTGAAGTGGCTAAACTGAAAAGCTTATTGCTTTTTTAGCAAATAAGCTTTTTAGGAGGTTGCGAGCTCCTTAATGGTTGAAGCTGAAGTTGGACAGGTCATTATACCCTTAAAAATTCCATTATTTAATTATCTTATCAACTAAAAGACAAAGCAATATATCTTTCAGTTCAGCAACTTCAGCTGTTATCAAATGGCCCTTAGGCAAAAATGTATAACTAGGAGATAATGTAAAAGATATTTTCCCACCCTTCAAGAAAGAAAGCATGGAGGAGGGGACATTGCAGGAAATTATTTGTATCCAGGGAAATCAAGACCATGGTCTATATGCATCATCCAATGGGATTCAATTAGGAGATCCTCCATAATCATCCAGAAGAATGTGATAGATCAATCATCAAACTGTTAAAGTGCCATTTGATAAAAGAAATCTTATAAGTGGACTCATTGGTCCCATTCATTCCACATGTTAAATTGCTAGTGTGCACTATGCTCAGTGTATGTGGTTGCCAAATTGTTGCTATTGTCATTTAATGAGAATAGAAGAAAATTATTAGAGATTAAGACCAGGAATGCAGAGAACTCCAATAGAAGAATTCTAAACAAAAAGCAGCCCAAGACACAACACTACAAAATAAGGCCCATAAGCCAGCAGAGAAGCAGGCAAACAGCAGAATAAAAGGAATTTCTTCTCACAGCATTTCAAGCAAGCAATTCTTCAGTCAAATTAAGGTGTCAAAAAACATCCAAGTCTGGGTAAGAATTGTCTTATCAGCTTAGTTCGCTTTTGACAAAATCTGCAATGGCAATGTTCTTGAGAAGTGTTCCATTTTAATTGCTAGTATGCCCAGCACAGATGAATACAACTCCAGGCCTCTACTTTGGGTAGCCAGCTACCAGGAATCATGTCAAGTTATCCTTGTGATTCTTCGAAGAACCATCCAACTGAGTGAACAGAAGTGGTTGCTAATTCAAATTAGACATGTAATGGCAATATTTATCTAAATATCGAAACCAGTGGTAATATTTTGTAAGAATTCAACTGCATGAGAAGAAAAATAGAAGATAACTACTGATCAAAAGAATCTTCACAGTATAAATGTGAGATAAAGAAAGGACCAACTAGGCTCCTTAAAAGAAAAAAATGGAACAGAGTTAACATGGTAAGAAGTGGAGGAGATACTTATTTAGACTCATAAATAAGTTGCTAAATTACCAAAGGAAACATACCCGAGTAAATAAATCTTCTCTTATCCAAGGAACCAAATACTTCCAAGGCCAAATATCCAGTGTACTTACTCCCTTGTTCTTTGGTCGTATCCGTCCAGTCATTTGTGTTGCAGATGTTAAGTTAGGATGCACTAGAAACCTAGCTGCAACCTCCACTGAAAACTCATAAGTGCTAAAGACACGATCAAGTGGGTTTCTTAGTATTGTTACCACAGAAGTACTTCCCCTTGGAAGCTTGGAGACAACACTATAGTCATCATGAGTAACCATCAATCTGCAATTGGGTTTGCTGCAAACAAGGCAAACTAATACCATTCACAACTACTTATAGAAGACAACATGATGAGGTTTTAGAACAGTTGGTTGTTGTAGAAGGGAAAACTTGAGTTGCAGTAAGCATCTGCTATCTATCACACTGACATAAAAAATGAGCTGTTAATATTTTGTTGAAGAATAAAGATAAAATTTTATTAAAAATAAAAGAGATACATTAGGGAGGTGATAAGATATCACCAAGGGAAGAAAAGCAGTCTCAAAGACCCTTTGAGAGCCCAAAACCCATGCAACTTGTTGACAAAAAGGAGACCCCAGTCAATTCAAGCTAAGAACAAGGAAAAGACCCCAAACCAATCCCCAGCTAAGAACAAGGAGCTGTTAATATTATCCTTGTTGACTGAGAACTTTAAGTTTTATAAATATCTATTTAAAAAAAATTCTTTGATTACTGTTTCTGACAAAACTTCAACCTGTGTTAGGTGTTAGAATTCTAGGAGTATGAGGAACATATTTCATTTATGAATTCCTTATGAAAAGTGAGCTGCTTGGATCCTCTTTGTGGAAAATGTATTCTGGTCTAAGCTCTCATCTGAAGTAAGGTCATACGGGTCATACTTTTACGAAAAGAGTTGCCGAAAAACATGATTAAGAAGTTTCATGGGATTCCAAAAAGAAAGTAAAACAAAATCAGGATCTGCTATGTTTATTACCAAGAGTATTCTTGATCAATTTCATAGAAGCGTACACATCCTAAAGGCAATATCTATGATGCCAGAAGGGTATGATACCAGAAAACTTTGAGTAAGCAGAACCAACCCCCCAGGTGAATTTTGATGAGTACCTATTGATTGGTCACCATTTATATCTTCTATGATGCCAGTTGATTGCTTATCAGTTTTTCAGGCACCATGCCTTGTTGGTATCATAGTCGGATTCCATTCTAAAAGTATTCCAATAAATATACACCTATATATATATATATATATACATATACATTTTTTGTGTAGAATATTAAGAACAAAAGAGTAAACATCCGGTATAGATAATTACCTGGGATCAAAGCGCAGCTTATCATATGAACGGGGGCACTCCAAAGAACTATAGTATAGTCTTCTTAAGAAGCTGTTAGTCAAAAATAAGAATAAGCAGGGAATGACAACTATTACTAAGTATCAATTTAAAAAAAATATATACTTTTTTAGGTGTCAAATGTACAGCTTACCAATGGAAATATGTACGTCCTCCTGTTCTGGGGATGTGGAGAAAGAAGAGCAAGTCCTGCAGTTTATGTTTGTCTTCTTTGACCTTTGTTTCAAGAGATGATGTTGCCCACCTCTTGACAGTTCTTTGGCAGTGCAGAAAATCATCCTCAGTAGGAGAAGCATTTAATGATGTAAAGACTAGTAAAATATTTGAAATTATTAGTTAGTATTAATTGAAGAAATATCTAAACCAAGAAAATAAATGTAGAAAGAAGGCAACCAAGTAATTTATGATTGTTAGCTACAGATAGCAGAAAGGTAGACACTCCAGGAGCATTATCAAGTTGGCTGCCATCTCAAAATGCAATTTATCTTGTGGATATCCAATTCAAATGATTCAACAGAAAGCTTAAAAACTATTGATTTGAAGAAAAGAAAAAAGAATAAATATTTAACAGCAGGGCCTAAAATGGAAATCAGCTGTCCAACTAACCTAAGTTTACCAAAAGAAGCGCAGAAAAGTGGTGGGCATTACATTACTTATAACACGTAAAGAACTAAAAGGGTAAAGGCAAAAGCAGATAGAAGAGGCCGATGCATACCCACTGCAAGAAGCATCGCCAACACAACAACGTTTTGAGCAGGGGCCATCTACCTTCTCGATTGATCTAGTTCCAAGAAAAAGAAACGAGAACATAAGGATGCTTATTGCATCAATAAAAGACATAAAAGGAGGAACAGATACTAGAACAGAAGGAAATCCTGTTGTGATGATAATAAAACAAAAAAAAAGGAAAATGTAAGATTTGTTACAGATTACCAATATTCAAAAAAGTCAAATTCCTCACAATTTCACGTTTAGCAATCAGAATAAAAAAGAAACAAAACTGAACAACAAGCTAAAAAGCTTTGAAATTAGAACAAGTGGAGAGAGAGAGGGGGGGGGGGGAATAGTTCGCTCAAAATTACAACTCAAATATCAAAACACGGTAGAATAAAGCCTAATTTCTAGAACTGTATAAAAGACAAAAGCCTAGAAAGAAAAAAGAAATATATAAAAAAAAAATCTCGTCTTTAATGGTGAATTATGAAAGCAACCCCGATTTAAAGATAAAACTAGGGAGATAGGAAGAAATAAAAAGCTAAAAAAAGAAAAAGAAAAACCTTCTCCAAACAATGAACTTACAATTTCCGTATCAAAAGAAAATACACTAGCCGAACATCAAAAAACTAGTATATTTTGAATTAAAATATAATAGAAAAGAGCAAAAGCAATCAAGAACAAACCCTAATCAAGCCCAAGAGAAGAGTAGTAACAGCAATTTAAAATTCTTTTAAGGTGCGAAACGGCGACAAACATTTGCGCTAACAAGAGAACGAAACTAAATGGTAGTTTGCCCTACCTGTCTCGAATTCCGGTATCTCGTGCTCATAAATTCCCGAACCGTGTTGGAATTCTAGCAGACAAACTCGCGATCAAAAGGGTCCACAATAGCACCATTAGAACATTCCGGGGCTGCTAAAATTTAATTAACATTCTTACCAGAATGCTAATATTACCAGAACAACACGCATATTCAATAAAAAAAATCCAATACGCAGGGATGAAGATTAAAAGGTGGAAGATAAGATTTCTCGCTGCTTTCTGCTTCTACTTCTACAGTTGGTATTCAAAGACCTACTTTTGCCTTTCTTAGTTGACAATTTCATGCGTTGACATTGAGGAAAGAGAGATGATATGACCTAATTCAACGATTTTTCCTACAAAATAAATAAGAAAGCCGGAAAAATATTGAAAGTCCACAACATGAGTGATGACTGATGAAGTCATATGAAGTCCTTCACAGTGTTCTCACTTCTCACACGCACGGGGGCAAAATAAAAGGTTAGAAAGAGCAATTAAACTAAACGATTGTGCTTTTCGATAACGTGCTTTTCGATAACGCGAGATTCCAGATACTTGTAATCCTCAACCCAAGGCTCACGTTAGAAGATTGGTCGAGGCGATGGACCGCCAACCTTTGAATGTCCAGAATGACGAAAATGTCCTGGCCGCACTGCCGCTGACAATGGGGGTTTATAAAAGTTGGTGGAGCCCACCCAACGTCGTAGTTAAGATTTAGGAATTGGAGGTGGGTTCTAGCCTCCTAGGCACTTTCTATCTATTTATTTGTTTACCTGTGTGTTTTTTCTTTACAAGTTAGAATGCACTTGTTTTCAGAGTTCAGCTTCGGTCAGGGTCATTAGAACAGTCTTTACAGCCTTGCATTGAGAATATCTATACTTGTATGTTTTATTTCGTGGGGAGATATTCTAATGCAAGGTTGCAAATTGCGGTTGAAACGGTGTGGGCATAGGTTTCGCGGAAGTCGATCTCATTCCACCTTTTCCACAGGAGTCTGGATCTCTTGCCCATGAGAACTATGCCCACATTTGCCTATACAACATCACAACCACATATAGAGAATATCTCATCCTTATGCATAATATTATGCAGAAGACAGGATCTGCTTCTCACAAATGGGCACCTCATATGCACATTCATCATGCATTGAGAACATCTCCCGTGAATAATAATTGATAAGTATAGGAGATGTTCCAAATGTATGGTAAGATGTGTGTGTGTAAGGCGTCAGGTGTAAAGAGCAGATCCGATCTCATTATGCAGTAGGAGATATTCCCAATTCATAGGGGTAATGTATTGTGAATAGATGTGGGTAGAGTTCTCGTGAATAATACATCTTGTGTCTTCCATTCGGGCATTGGCCAGTTGGAACAAGATGAGATCTTCTGCCAAGAAATACATTCCAACACCCTATCAACTCCATCAGACACCGTACATCTCATTACAAAATTGGGCTCATCAGGTGATTCGGGCTCAGTTGGGACTTGCTTCGTTGCTCACGGGTGAGTCATCAGTAGTAAGGCGTGGCAGGTCAGAAATGTTCTTAATACACCGTTGAGATGTGTGAGGTGCTAAACTCCATAAAGTTTCTTTGTTGAACAATGCACCCCACAAAATTTTGATGCACCGAATCAGGCCCCCATTAGATTGCCCCCCAACAACGTCTTTCCCAAAACATAGCGCGGATGTGTTGCGGGACGTTGTGGGGGGCTGATTTGAATTCGCATGACACATCATCCACTACGATGCTGAAAAGACAGGGCCGTAGATTTGTGAAGCGGGATTTGCTCCTCATAAATGGTCGCACATCCACCGTGTGTATTGGAACCGTGAATAATAATTAATAAGTACGGAAGATGTTCCTAAGGCATGGTAGGATGTACATGTGAAGCACAAGGTGTGATCGTGTGAAGAGCATATCTGGACTCTAGATTTGTGGGTTATTCACAAATTGTTCTCACATCCCTACCCATGGGGAATTCGGCTTCAGTCAGTGCAAGGCCCGTTAAAACAATTTTTATGGCCTTGCATTGGGAATATCTCCTAGTGCAAGGCTGTAAAATACATAGGTATAGAGATATTCTCATTGCAAGGCTGTAAAAGGTTGTTTGAACAATGTTTTAACGGGCTTTGCACTAATTGAAGCCAACATCACCCATGGGATATAACAGTTGCGCATAAAGAATATCTCCCTTTTCACGACAATGGTATTCCATAGGGGTGAGCAAACAGTTTATTTAGTTAAAAATCAAACCAAATAAATCAAAATTTTTAAAATCGATATTTTAAATGAAAAACCAAATCGAAACTGAAATAATCGAAACCAGAATTTGTGGTTCGGTTTTTTGTTATTTCGGTTAAAACCAAATTTCAACACTATATATATTTTAGGGAAAATTCCTTATCAGTACCCTATACTTTGGCTCGAATTATAATTTGGTCCCCAAACTTTAAAATATGACAATTCAATACCCGAACTTTCAAGATGTGACAATCTAGTACCCGAACTTTCAAAATGTGACAATCTATTACCTGTCATTAATCAGTTCACTAATCAACCGTTAAGTGACATTTGAAAAGTAAAAAATGCCCTAAGAATGTCATCTAATTCTCTTTTATCAACCATCTAAACATTGACAATAAAATGAACAGTCCCAAATTCTAGATTCTTCTAAACAACCACCAACTTTTTTAAATATAAGAGGCTAGGATTTGGGATTGTTCAATTTTTTGTCAACATTTGGATGGTATATAATAAATTATATGTTTTAATATATAATATAATACAATATAATATATTTTATACATATTATATATGTTAATATATATTATAGATAATAAAGTTTAACTAATTTGGTTTTTTCAATTAACTGGATTTTTAAACCTGAAAATCAAAATCGAAACCAAAAATGTACAAAATCGAACCGAAATAACCAAAAATTGAAAAAATCAAACCGATAGTTTTTCAGTTTTAACCAAATAATGCTCACCCCTAGTATTCCGTGGGTAGAGATGTAGGAACATTTTGTGAGTAGCAAATATGGAGTGGAAAAGACATGTACAACTAAGGCCCCATTTGGTTCATAGAAATAGGGATCTGAAATCGGAATCGGCTATTCTGATTTCAACTATTTAGTTGGGAAGAATCAGAATCCTATTCCCATTCCTACTGGAATGGCATTCCCCCCATTCGAGGGAATGGCCATTCTCTACTCCTCCCTGTGGAATGAAATCTCATTCCTGTTCACTCCCATTTCCATTATCATTCCTATTTGAACCAAATAGATTATAGGAATAAGCCATTCTGATTCGAATTATAATTTCAATTATAAACCAAACGGATCCTTATAACCAATCAGCGGGTAACATAAAAATGATAAAAAGTGGCGAGGTGAGTTTTGATTTTTGATTGGTCATATCCTTTACAGTATCATGTATTTTATGCATTATAGATTTTTCATGCATAATTTGGACGAACAGAAAATGCTGTTGAATATGTGGTCCACTATTATACTAAAAGGATATTGGGACTTGGGAGAACCCAACTCCCAAAAGATCGTAATATCTTAAAAAACTGAGAACCAATGCGAGAATCAAATCCTTCTGCTGCCACTATCATGCAACAAGTAAGATTTGGTGGAGTTTTTTTTTTTTTGGCAAGTAGGATTTGGTGGAACATGGATTTAGTCGAGATCACATCTCCGCCCCACAGCACATCCTTACCGTATATTGGAAATATCATCATCGAGAGATGTTTTAAATATACAGCGGGGATGTGCTGTGTGGCATTATGGGGCGGAGATGTGAATTCCTCCTCACACTGCGCTTACAAACTTTTGGAGTCGTAATGTACAGTTGCAAGTGACTATGAGCACTATATGAGAATAGTTATGTGAGAACTGAATCTAAATTCAGTTTGGGTGTTAGCCTGTTTGGTGTATTTTTGGAATAAATGAATTCACTTTGCTATGACCACTAGGGAGTGGCTGCTTGCCCCGCTGTGTGTAAAGGGCTACGTAATTAATAATGTAGGCCAAGCATGAGTAAAATTGTCTATTAATCTATTATCACATTATTTCTATGGGTAAGGGTGTTCATTATACAGTTCAAACCGTAAAACTAAACTGAACCAAACCAAATTTACAGTTCGGTTTGGTCTGTAATAAAACATGATTTGATTCAGTTTTAAAGTTTTGAAAAATACAATTTACAGTTTTGGTTTGATTTATTAAATTTTATAAATCAAACCAAACYGTAAATCGTATTAATATATATAAATTAAAATATTGAATATCTTAGACTTTAAATTATAAATATATAATAAAAGTATTTATTTTAAAAAATGATAATTAAGATTAAAAATAAAGACTTCTAATTTTAATTTTAACTTTTAATTAATAATTGAATTAATCTCTCTCTCTCTCCTCTTTAGTGCCCTAGCCCCTTTCAGTTAATTAATTTTTTGTTTTGTTCTATACCACTCCAAAGTCTCCAAACTGTACTAAAAAACATACTAAACCATAATAAAATGGTTTGGTTTGATTTGATTTCTGTCTTAAAATGGTTTGGTTTGATCTGAGAATTTTCTAAACCGTAATTTATTAATTTGATCCAAAATATTCTCCAAACTGGACCATGAACACTCTTATCCATGGGTATAAAACAATAATATTTACTCCAAATAACCTTCCATCTGTTATGTCCTCATCACATTCACAACATCATCATTTCATCTTTCTCAATATGGGGTCAAACTCAAACAATGAAGGCTTTGATTCGCAAAAAATGGTTTGCTTATACCTTAATCGGCTAATTCATGCAATGCATGGAGATGAACGGAGGAAGTTTCTCGGATCTGGGGCACAACTCCGCCATAGTGCAGCATGGCCTTATAATCCGTATTAATGACATTCATAGAAGGACAAAAGCAATAGCCAATACATTTTGTCAATCGATTATGTTAATCGGAGCTTCCCAATTAGGGTGTTAAAGGTATTTGAAAATCCGATTTCGAATGCTAGATTTGATATAATCGAATCGAATTTGGATAATTTGAATACTTAATTGATTGAATTCGGATATCCTATTAATATTGAATAGTTAATTGGATTCGAATTTAAATATAACATGATTCGATTCGATAAATATCCGGATTTGACCGATTATTTAATTCTTATATATAATATATAAAATATTTAAATGTTTTATATAATTTATATATTTATATGCTTTATATAAATAAAGTTTTTATTTTATATATTTATTAATTACTTAAAACAATTAATTGGTCGAATTCAAATTGAATCGAATATTCAAATATTTAATTAAATTCAAATTCGAATATTAATTTTCAATATCCGTAAGATATCGAATCGAATTCGAATATCGAATTTTTTAATCGAATTCGGATATTGCCTTATTCGATCCATTTACACCCTACTCCCAACAATAA